CCCTATTTAGCACGAGTTCAGCAATGTCCCTTTGCTGGAAACGTGTGCGCGTTCGAAGCTTTCCTGCTAGCTCCATGTTGAGGTTGGACAGCTCCAATGCACGCCTTGAAGTTTGTAGATGAACATCAGAAATTGAAAATTGCAGTACTACGTAAATTCGGCATCATAGGGGTTCAAACCATGCTCATCGTTCATTCTATCTTTGATATTCAGCCAAACGAGCAAAAAAACAACCAGCAATAGAAAACGCGTTCTGAAGGAGGGACTTCCCACAAAACTCACTGAATACAGTCAGCACACTTTTCGTACTCATAGTAGATGACGTGACAATTGGCTCGTTCTAGCCACAATACAATTTTCTCCTCATCTTTCAATAGTCCATTTTGCACTATTATAGCCTAAATGAACGCATTTCAAAAGAGTAGCGGTTGAGCGTTTATTTACTGTCAAAATTCTAGCTCACAAATTCATCCATCATATCTTTCAGTACTGCTGATGGCTCCTTGAGCATTTTCTACCACAGTAGGGCAATTCTGAAGTTAAAATCCTTTGTAAGTACGCCGGAGGGGTTTTCCCTTACTGCATGCATAACAGCCTGGAAGGAAGAAATTATTCTTACTCATACTTCCTCGAAATCCTGTTAACGAACCTCTTGACTCTTTTCTCCAACTTAATACTTGCGAAATATGTCCTGGGTGTACGGATAAGGCAATGCAACAGTGATGCCAATGCTATGCCACCATCAAAAAAGTCAGGCGATCCTGAAAGGCTCAAAGTTTTACGATCTCTCGAATAGGACCAAACGATAAATGGAATGAATTGACAAAGATGACCTATCCAACCATAACATTTGGGTTTGAGCAAGTTTCACAGCGTGAATCATCTGTATTTGAAGCGGTTAATGTTCGATGTGAATTTAAACACAACGAATAAGATTTCCGAAAAAGAATAAACCGAAAGTGATCACTATTGATATCATTGCATGCCTAAAGACACGTTCACACATTCAGGGTGCATTTTAGCTGCTGCAAAAGAACCGAAGATGATGACGAAGGCTAGAACTCAAGAGCAACTGTGCTGCTTCTGCAATATCCCTCAGAGGCCGCGCATTCCCACAGAACATGACAATAAAAACGGCCTAAGCGTCCCACTCGTTAGTTTAATACAAGCAAAACGCAATTTCCTGATGCGAATAACATTTGAGGTGTTGCTCATGCTTCAAAGTCCGAATAGAGGGTGATGAAGATGAAGACAATAGAGATGATAAAGTCCATCACAAATGTAAAAGCTATTCACTAGCTACACACATACCTGATTCAGATTCCGACATTGTTCTATAGTGTTCTTATAGTCTCTCTTCAGCTCATCAATATAGGTCACCTGAAAAAGAGGTGTCCCTTCAAAGCAGAAATTCCGTCAATCAGATATTTAGTAAATGCTCAACATTTACTGAAAGTAAAAAAGAGGTTTCGTTATCGATAAGGAACATCCTGCCGTATATATGGCGAAGAATAGACAAAACGCCACAGCAATTAATGCGATGAGATAACCAAAGGCAGCAAAAGTGAGGTCATTCCAGAGGAACCTGGAACACCAAACGGTGATGAGAAAGGTGTGGCTCATTAGAAAAAAAAACATAGAACGCCAGCTACAGCTTTCCATTCCCACAAACATGAAAATAAAAACGGCCTAGGCGTTCCACTCATTACCTTAATACAAGCAAAACGCAATTTCCTGATGCGAATAACATTTGAGGTGTTGCTCATGCTTCAAAGTCCGAATAGAAGGTGATGAAGAGACAAAGGCTAGAAATGAAGAACAACGAATGTAGATGTAAATAAAACAAAAATGAAAAATTAAGGAAACGCAAATTAATTAAAATCGCAAGTAAATTTCTGCGATCCGGCGCGAATCCGGCTCTACAGCCATAGGAATACTTACTAACGAGTGAAACGCTTAGGCCGCATCTATTGTGCGTTCTGTGAAACTGCACGGCTTCTGAGGGATGTCGCAAAACACTGGGAAACCTCGACACATCAACACTTGAGGGACTCATCATAGTCACATACACTCAACTGGTATGATCGTACCATGTGTCCTTAAAAAGTCAAACAAAAAAGTTCTACACACAATCATCCCTTCATGAGTGCTCCAGAGGCGCCATGTTACTGGACTGCAACTCAAAAAACAAAATGTAGTATGAAAAAGAAAATTAGTAGCACCGAATTTGTAATAAACTGACCACTTGTTTGACTAATTAGATGAAAATCATCTTCGAGCGACAATCCATTAGAAGAGAACGGCATGCAAACCTTGTTTAGTAACGGTGCCCATTCGGCTTCCACATTGAACCAGACCAACACCTTAAACAAAACAACTGTCAAGTCGAAAAAAATATGAAAATAATCCATCGCGACGAGCGCTTCAGCAATGTGATAATTGGATACCATACAGATCAATGAACGGAGGGGTTCGCAATCCAAGTTGTAAGAGCAAGTGTGTACAAAAGAGAAGGGAGGAAAGAGAAAAAAAGGAAAAAGGGAGGAAAGGGGAAAAAAGGAAAGCGTGGTTGAAAACCGTGGACGCTGATTGATTAGCTGCTGGCAATAGGCCACCGTTTCGACACCACATGAAAATCTCGTCCAGGCAACGCCTTTTCCCCGTGGTTTGCACGTCCAGCCTCGGATCGGCACGGGGGCCCTATAAGGGGCATTCCAAAGGGTTTTCTTGGTTTCTCCTCTTTTTTCATCAACTCACTGCCTCCTCATTCCTATGTGACCCCCCCTCACCCTCCATCT